ATATACACACACACATCAAATTTAAGCAAGCTATGTATGGTTACCACGTGCATCGCACGTGCTCAGCGGACCGAACACGGCATTTGAAGATTTAAGTCGGCGACTTCCCGCCCTCAAACCTCTCGAAACCAACACGAGAGCTCGAGGGACCGAGAAGAGTCGGAGGAGCCACAAGCCGTGGGAAGACAGAATCGACGTCTACGACTCCGTTCTCCTTCCTCTCCTCATTCGTTCCTCCTCTTCTTCTCGGGATTCTCAAACCCTCACCTCCCCGCCTTCCCTGCGGCCCTTCTCCCACTTACTCCCCCTCCTACTAAAACCCTCACTCTCTCCTCCGACCCGTCGAGGAGTCTCCTCCCTTGCAAATCCCCGGCCTTGCCGGCTTCGTGCAGGCGTCAGACCACCAATATTGCCCTTTCTTTCGCGATCGGTGCACGGATGATGGCGGACTGAATCTCGACGACGACGATGGGGATTTCAAGCTCATTCCGTGGCTGTGCGCGTTAGGGTTTCAGGGTATGCCTCTGCCTCCCGACTATCATCTGCGTGGCTTCGGTTAGGGGAAAATTGCAATCGGGTCTACCCGATTGGTTCTTGGACAGCTGCAGGTTGTTGTCTTGCAGACCTGCCTAGGGATTTGATTTGTTCTCCATGGTGTTGATTGGCTTGGTGGATTGATCATCGGGTGGTAGGGATCGTCGAATCCTGCTCCCCAAATGATCTGGGACACCCTGTGTTTCTAACACTGAACGTACAGACGGATCTTCGGATGAAAGTTGCGTCATCATTCTTATGCAGAAACCCTACTTTGATTGAGAAGGAACCCCTTTTTAGTATCCGACAGGCATTAGTAGAGGCTTTGTGGAGTCCTCTCGGATTACAATCTCAGTGGCAGTAATCTCTTGGCTTCGTCCTCATTCGCAAGCAGGTTGCAAATACTCATCAGAATCTGTCTTTGAAGTGCCATTTTAATTCTTTAGCTTTCTGCCTTAGTCCAATTTGATTGAGACAGTGAATTCTCTGTTGTTTCGTCTTGAATTGATACTTTCATATGCTTAGAAATAAAACGACTTCAGGTGGCTGCTTCTTGTCCAGCTAAAAGAATGTGGTGACTAGAAAATTGATCTGCCTTTTGATGTTTCTATAATTTCAGGTAAATTGTCGCTGTTACATCATTTCTCTCGCAGTTAAGTTCCTATTCGAATTGACC